GGGGATGGGACAGGGTTCTGTCTGCTTTAGACCCCGTGTGATAAGGTCTCCAGTTACATAGCTAAGTAGCTGATTCAGAATCATAACCAAAGTTCCCCCCCAACTGTATCAAAAGATCTGATTTTTAAAAAAGTCATTTATGAAAAACAAGTTAAATATGCTTTTCAGCCATCTGAACAAACCAGATGGAAGCATGACAGAAATAATACATGACAATAGAAGTTCAGAATCACAGACATGAAAGTGGATAGAAAATCAAGTGAGAGAGAGCAGGGGAGGATCCAAACTAACAAAAAAAGTCCAGACTGAGGCCTGACTTGTACATGGGATAATTCTCTTTTCTCGTTGAAGATTACTTCCAAGAGATGGAAGTACCAAAAGGATAGAAAGGGGAGGGCATATGCTTGTGGTGGTGAGGAGCACAAAGCCCAGAGACATTCTTTCTGATAGAGTGAAAGATTGGTGCGGGTTTGGTGGAAGAAAGTGAGGGAGAAAAGGGACAGGAGAGATAGAGGAAGTGGGGGGAGAGAATGATGGCTCAGACAGGGAAAGAGAAAAAGTGGCATAGAAAATAGTATGGCTCCAAGAAAGGAGGATGCTGAGAGAGAGAGAGAGAGAGAGAGAGATGGAGTAGCACGGGTAGGTAGAATTTTGCAGAGAAGCTGAAAAAATGAATTTAGAGCTGCCAGGAGAGATGACAAACAGACACACAGAGAGGGAGAGAGAGCGAGAGAGAGCACAAGATGCACTCAACTCTATGGGATTTCCTTCAGAGGGTATCTGCAGAAAACTGGTCATCAACAAATCAATTTCAACTTGAGTTATATTCCTTCTTCAGTTTAAAGACCATGAGCTGGTCTTATGGCACACAATTACTGCTTTTCAGCTATCTCAAAGATATCTGACCAGTTTTGGCTTGACTGCAAGAACAAAAAGATGTTGGTGAGGTGCAATCTGATTTGAAATAGCAGCTTTTGGAATATAGATTGATATTTAAGAAACACCCTCTGGCACATCTGTACTAATGGAAAGTTATGAGGAAACAGCTTCCTCCCTCCCTCCCTCCTTGTGTGTGTGTGTGTGTGTTTGCTTGTGTCTCTCTGTGTGTAAAACAGTGCAGTTTGAAACGAAGGCATAGAAGACAACAGCTTATAGTGTTCCTGTAGGCACAAAAAATCATGACTCCATACTGTTTTTAGTAACATAAATGAAGGCAGCTTAAACAAGTATAACAACAGAGCTTACTGATATAATCAACTACTATATCTAGGCACATTTGGGCAAGATCGTTTTTTTTGAGGGGCAGGAATTCAAGAGATTATTCCACTCCTGATTAAAAGATGGAAACATTACTGCTGATTTAAAAAGATATCTGTGTCAGAGACTGATCATCTTGATCAGCCAAAAGACAAATTTAAGAATGAAGGTGCATCCTGTGTCAGATGGGCTTACACACCTTTTAGAGGCTCAGGTCCACAGTTTGAGTATGCTTCTGGATTTACTCCTGAGACTGGAAACATTATTTCAGTGATGGCCAGAGTGCCTTTGCATAGTTTGTTGATTTATTTTAAGCTTTAGATATAGCAGGTTCATTAATTGTGCCCTTTCAGGAAATAATTACTTTTATATCATATTCCAAGTATGGCTGATTTTAAATAGGCTGCTCATTGGGACCATGTGACTCTTGTTCTAAAATGATTCGTTAGTTTCTTTTTCATTTCTGGGCATACTTCACAGTCTTTGTTATAACATATCAAACCCTTAGAGCTTGAAAGCATGCATTTTCTGTAACAGTCTGCACAGGTTTCATATTCTTTGATGGAAACCCTTCCGTACTGTATATTTGATGGGATGTGTGATAGGGACTTCTCAATGGCTACTCCCTGTTTGTGGAACTCCATGCTAAATGGGAAGAGGATTAAAGTGTTTTCTCCCCTTTTGTCTTTCTACAACCTGGCAAAGATGTTGCTGTTGCTGCTGTTGTTATTGTTGTTACATTCCTTTGGCTGTCAGTTGTTAAACTAGGTTGTTCTTGAAGGGGATTAACTAGTTAGTTGCTCTATGAAACAGCTATGGCTTTTTTTAAAAAAATAATTTTCTGTTTTATCTGAATTTTTTCATTGTTAGCTGTCTTGTGTGTCAATTTTGGCAGTAGACAGGATATAGCTTAGTAAATAAATATC